GAGGTGGAGCATGCTTAGGAGGAGTGGAGCAAAGAATGTTCAGTATTCTTCCATGGAATACCAAACGGAGTTATTGTCATTTAAACTCTCAACAGGTTTCCTGATCTTACGTTGCATGTAGTAGGCAGTGGGAACAGCTGCACAGTAGTACGCTATTGAAATGCTTCAGGTCTGATAACATGGCTATAGGACCAGTTCATGCTGAATGATGGCATATTTCATTACATTATTGTTTCATATTATCTGTCATTTCTATCACAGCTGGGTGCCACATGTAACATCCACAAGTCCTGGTTCAATGACTGGTTCACAGGACACCTCAATTTCCAGATTGAACACCAGTAAGTACATGACATTAAACACTGGTTGTGGATGATGGTTTTGATCAATTCTGCACAAGTAGTCCAATGCTAAGTTATTTTCAAAACAACGACAAGAAAATGTGTCATGCTTGGCACAAATGTTGAGTAAATGATATGAAATTAAAAGAACATGGATGAATCAGTGGAATGATGTACATTTTGTCAAGTTTATGAAATAAATTCTATTTTCACAGGAGAAAAGACTAACCCAGTCATGCTCAATTCAGCAAGCTGCATTTTAACAAGATGTTTATGATGTTCATTGCATATCTGTAAACTGTTGGACTAAATAGGTGGCAGCAAATTGACTGTAGATTTGCTGAAAGGCAGGGTATAGTTTTTGTATCTCATCTAATCTTAAAACCTTTGTTTTTGTATTCTACAAGCCTTTTTCCCACCATGCCACGTCACAACCTTCACCGTATTGCTCCACTGGCGCAAGCACTCTGTAAGAAACATGGCGTTGAGTACAAACTGAAAGGCCTTGGATCAGCCTTTGTAGACATCGTGTCGTAAGTCACAGTTTACATGCATAAATCATGCCTCCCTCTCAGCCCAATTGACAAATCAATCAGAAGGATCGATTTTGCCCTCCATTATCAACAGGAAAACACCACGGATGTGATTTCTTGAAGTTTTTCCAGATTTCTGTTTTTTCTTTTACCGGCAAATTCCAAAGTTTTAAAGTTTGACGTACATGTATTTGCGGTTTTCAAGAGTTTTGCATTTGCAATATTCACACTCTCCCAAGTTACTTAAAGTCTAAGAAGGTCACAGCATTTTATTGGCATTTAATAATTGCTCAATCACGGGTTTGTCTTGATCACTCATTATTACCTATAGGAAAACAACTCTAATTTGGCACCAGTTAGATTTAAGTCAGGTAACAATAACCAAATGTATGGCTCTCATCACAAAAATCAGCATCCCCCAACTTGCCAGAATTCTTACATGGCAGCCAAGGTTTTCTTTGTGTTTTTTTCTTTTTTTCACTAGTCAGTGATGCTTTGTGTGTTTAACCTTTGTGGGTTGCGATAGCTCTGCATTGTTGAAATATCTGAATGGCATTTGATGTACATGTAGTTTAGATGTATATGTGACCTATGTTCTCAATAATGAATTAGTCTCATGTCATACGGGACACAGTTACAAGAAAATAGTTTCAGCTTGATATCTGTAAAGTTTTCTTTTTGTTAACAGTGAAAGTTTGGATGCTGTGCCAAATTTTTTGGCACACATAAATCTGTTGTTTATTTTGGCAACCTGTAACATAGGTTGAAAGCTGAAAATGGTTGTTTACCAGAATTGTAAATTCTTAAATATGGAAGCAAATAACTCTTCAAATCAGAAAGTTACGGACCTATAAAATACTCAATTTGTATGCTTTTCAAGTTATTTTTCCAAATTGTGGGGTTCCACAATATTAACAAATATGGTTTTCCCTACATATTTAGGAACTGTTCAAAGACGAACATTGAATCTTGATAAGGTCATGCATTTATTTTGAATTCACATGAATAACAAGTAACCTAATTGTGTTGTCTTTCTCATTTCTCCCTTTTTCAAGGTCCCTGGAAAAGTCTGGCAAGATCTGGTTTGATGCCTACTACAGCCTTAGACATGAACTCTGAGTTGAAATGTCATGGCTCCATACATTCAGTAGTAGATGCATGCTACACTCATGTGGAAGAGCATTAGTTCAGTTCAAATGTAGCTGCGATAACCAGTCTGTATATTCAACGTGTAATCGCAAGCTTTTTATTCCAGACCCCAAGTACACGTAGCTGTCAAAGATATAACATGATAATAATTTGTGAAAAGTCTGCTGGACAAACAGTAAGACCCAATGTAGCAATGTCTTTCACCATCAGATTTTCGCTTCCTGAAAGCAATGTAAGGTGCATTACTCATAGCAATTAACACTGTTTATGCAGTGGACGTGCTTCAAGGTGAAATCTATACACAGATATATCAGAAAAATGTTGTATCGCTGTTTACTGATGCCTATGATGAAAAATAAGATTGAAACCATTTACAGTTTGGATGTAAGGTTACAATACTTAATATGATGGTGTCACATTTGCTAAAAGGTATGCCAGTATTACAAGAAAATTATGCATTTCAATATGAAACTATCTTGATTCCAAGTAAGTCATGTGACAGTCTATATATCTGAACAAAAACATTTTTTTTTATTAATTTAAAGGTTTAAATTATTTTCAAATCTTAAAATACCTTTCTTGACGGATTTACCCAGTTGTTCATCCCTAGTTAACCACTCGATAAATCTTGTAATTCAAGTTACTCTCGTAGTGGTGTGGGTAGATTGTTATATCAGTTAATTCACATTTCACTATTTCACAGATTCAATTTAAGAATTGAATTTCCAAATTCTCAAAACGAGGAGGGACCAAAATGTGTGTTCCAAATGATAGAATGTTTTTATGTACAAGGTGCAGTGAATGGTTTTTGAAAAATCACATGTGTTTCTTCATTTGAGAAGTATCTTTCAGTATATTCATTATATAATAGAAGATATTTAGCTGTCGTTGACCAATTTAACTTACCGGTATTTAGCCAGCTACAAATAGACCGTGCCCTCTCTGATGCATATATGTAAGTAAGCCTATAAAGGTTATTAAATTCCCATAGAATGTTGAGTAGGTTCAGTGGTCTTGTGGATAATGGCACATTTTGAGATCACATGATACGCTTCCAGCTGGATTCAATCCCTAGCAGCTACCCTTTATTTTCATCCTCCAAAATTGAAAATTTTCTCATTACTTTAGTTTGAAATTGACTCCAACATTTGATTACAGAGTATTACATTTTCTTTTTCTGATTTATGGCTCTGGAGGATTTAGTTTAAAGATCAATCACATTGCTTTGACATAAAATGGTTATGTAACAGGGAATTGGTCATTGCTACCCATGTCGTAACTAGTAAGGCAGCTTCTTTTCACATTTGTAAAAAAAAAATGGTCATTTTGGAGGTTCAGGACCACCGCATTCTGCTCAGAGTAAAAAAAAAGTGTCAATGAGGGCGGCAAACAAATCTAGCAATTTGATGATGTCATAATGCGGCTCTCGTTCCCCAGAGTTTCTTGACGTTGTGGCCATAATGGGGCACAAGAAGAGTGAAAAAACAGGTGAAGTAAGTTAGAGGTCATTCTCGGCAAATGACCACGGCCATCTGCCTGAAATGTATCAGGACGTTACTCCGGTTCAACTTGGGATGATTCAACTTCATCATACAATCCAGTGTTGATCAGTATTGTGGACATAAAACCAATTCCAAGCACTGGATGCCACAAACAGTGGTACACTGTTTCAAAAAAATGCTGGCTTGCCTCTGCTATTGACGGTGACAAAATGTTGGTAATTCCCAGCAGCCTGGTCTTTTGTTATGAGTACTGTCTTTTGTTACAAGGCCCAGTTCCCTTTGTTTGATTTCAGACAGCCTGGCTGTGCATATAAAGAATACATGCCCCAAACCAAGCTCCCCAGCAGCAAATGGTTAAATTACAGTTAAGTGCGAGCAAGCACAGCGCTCATGAATGCGGGCGTGTTCGCTCGAAATAATGAAACGACATTTGTTTTCTGTTTACCTGATATGAAGGACTTCAACTCATGCTTTTGACGTCAGTAGCAATCTTTACCCTCTAGATTGTTTTAAATATAACTAGATTTTATAGAAATTGAAATTGTGAATTACCATTGTGATTGATCTTTAAGAGGAAAAAGTCTAAAATTGCCAAATGGTCTGATTCCCACCTCATGAATACAAAGTCACAACGACTGTGTTGGTGATTTGTTTCCCCCAACCCCCCAAAAAAGTGAGTACACATGTGCCTCTGAAAATATTGTTTAGTGAAATTTGTTGGTAACAGCTAAATATCCACTGCTTATTTTTTCATCCTTATATTAATTTCCACATTGCCAGTAATTTCTTAATGACTAAGATATGCAATATCACTATTCTAGGTTTATACCACTTTGGGTAAGCAACATATCCAGAGTTTCTTTTAAAAAGAAATTTAAAAATCTAAAGTATCAGAGTTTATTTCATTTAGTGTATGCTGTGTGTGGTGGATTTTGTTTTGGTTTTCCTTTTTGCAATTATAATTGATAGGAATTGAGCATTTATGGTTGTGGTGAGATTGTATGAGTGAAAAAAACCTGAAAATGGTAAATGCTGTACTCGGGAGGTAAATTGTTGGGTTTTTATTATACCAAGGTGGTTGACGATTTATTACACATCAGGGACTATAATATTGACCATAAGATGTCCATTCATCTGAGAAATGGCGGTGAAAATAACAAATTGGTGGAGCTCATTACTTCAAATATTATCAAACACTTCCTGTGTCAGTTGATAATCTGTAGCATTGAAATATGTCAGTGTGTCCAGTGTTGGTTCTGTTTGGCTTAAAGATGCTGTCTTGGTATTGCCCATCAATTGCCATCCTGGCAAAAATTGTTGGAACATGTGTCAATAGCCATATCCTCCCAAGGTTCTCCACTCCCCTGGTCAATGCTGTGATCGAGAGCTGGAGCCTAGACTGTGCATATTGAGAGGGGTCCCAATGAGATTTGGCCAGGATTGTAGGTAAAAACTGTCAAAAAGTGTGCTCATCAATTTTTCAGTCGTCTCACAAAGAGTTTAAAAAAGCTGAATTGTTTTTGTTTATAGTTGTGTCACAATCACAGTTCCTTTACTAATAACACCTACACTTGCCAATCTAACTTGATAATGCATCCAGAGACACTGCAGATGCACACAGTCTCGTGCAAGTTACCTGTAACAGATCTGTTCAACAGATGTATAAAGAGGTGTGCTGTACAGACCTTTCAATATTGTCTGATAGTTCTATGATGTATATGAATCAATGGACATTCCTTTTAGCTAGTTGTAGTCAATAGTAGAGTTGAAAATGTCGGTGAGGAATGTAACATGAAGGTTTGAGAATTAACAGATTATAAATGTACTTTAGTTTGGTGTTCAGTTGGCAAATTAGATTTTGTAAAGTATTGCAGTTTTATCAGTAGTAAATACTGACGCACCAGGAAATTTGTAGTTTCTTGTGTTGAATAATGTACTCCATTATTTTATCCCAAGTTCAAAGGTATCCCTATCTTTTTGGCGTACTCTTTTGCATTTACAATCCCTGTGTAAAGACTGAATTTGCTAGTGGAATCAATGACATGAGTCAAAATGACATGAGTCAAAATGACATGAGTCAAAATGACATGAGTCAAATCAAATTAAAGATGAATATAAAAACAAATACATAGATGTGCTATTGTTGAATGTTGTGATACCAGAATAAGGTCACTTGGTTATTGGGTTGATACATGTATGCTATATTTTTTTTATAAATTATTATTACCGAAAATGGGTCACATGGAAGACATTCCCATAGGAACGTGCACAAAATTTTTCAAACTTTACCGTCCCATAATTCAATATTCCCTAATCCGATCTTAACCAAACTGTGCATGTTTTCCTTTCAGACCCTAATCTATCATCTCTCAAAATGTGGACAGTAAAAATTTTCCTCCTTTTGGTAGTTGGAGCATTTGGGAAACATTGAAATGTCTCCCTAATGACCGATGTCTCCCTAATGTTGAAAAATTTACCACAAAATGTCACAAATGTGGAAATATTGATGTAACCATCTGGCCATTCTGCAGTTCATGCAATTTGTGGTAGCTACTACAGACTCTCAAGAGCCAAGGTTCATTTTCTGAGGAATAGAAAGACGTATAGTGTAGAAGTGTATGGGCAAGTCTATATGAAATGCAAAATACATCATTCACAGGATTATTTGTTTCTTATCATTAAAAAGTCATTTCAAAAATGAAAGTGGAAATGATAGGGAGTATTGATACTTTGTAATTCCACTTTAAAAACTTCTTATTTGCAAAAAAAAAGAGTAATGAGGAATTTCATACTGGAAAGATGAATTTCCATTTATGTAAAGGCTAGTTAGTAACTTGCACATAAAACCTAGTTAAATGAACCCCATATGCATGTGCATGCCAGAGATTCAATAGGATTGTTGCTTTCTAGATTACTTCATTAGTGAGACTTGTTAGCATGATATCACAGTGACAGCCAGGAGGTTGAAGCTTTTGTTAGCATTTCCATGGGCTAGTTTGGTCTTCAGACTCTAAAAAACTTGCTGATGTTGCTATCATAGAGTCTAGATCTAGGAACTTGTTGCGAATGCCTTTTATATACAGCAGAGGGTGGACCAATCAGGCAAGTTTGGGTGACACCCGTAGGTTAACCACTTGTTTCTTTGTAATGTACAAATGTAATACAGTTTCAGTTGAACAATCGTAATTGTAAGAGCATTTTTGTAAAATCTTGTTGTCATTCACATTTTGCCATTGGTTGCACTGATGTTTCTTAGTCTATACCAGCTGGCGTAACATTTTTTATTCGCTTTTTTACCCACAAAGGAGTGTATTGATAACCAATTATGTGATAGTGTACCTAAAGGCCAGGTTCCAAATACAGAGATATTCCAACCATCTATCATTCAAGTGACATTGGGCACATATGATCCAAAGGTTGTGATGCAAACTCCAGTTAACTATGCATAATAGTTAACTGGAGTTTTTGCTTGAAACTGCTTTTCATTAGCCTTTTGGATCGTGTGTATTTGTAAGAATGCCTGAATTAATTGCTTGAAACTGTAAATTAGCTTAGGATTAGTTGAAATTCAGTTTGGTTTGGGTTTTTGGTTAGTTAGGGTGCTGTTGTCATGACATTCTCCAGAGGCTTTTGATGTTTCTTGAAAGTTGTTTTTAGGTTTAGTCTGAACCTCTGTGGTACCACACTTATCCAGTATAGTATATTAGTGTATACTAATCCATGGATTTCAACGGTAGTTTACACCCTGTGCAGGTGACCCTGAAACCTGAAATTGGAGGCCAACCTGCTAATTATGGATTGTAATTAGAGTGTACTTCAAATGAATTACATGGCTAAGTGAAGTTGGAATGTGTACGTTGCTGTAACAAGTAGGAAACGTACATTAATGAAGACTTTCTTTTTTGCTTTAGTGAGATCTTTTTGGTGGGGGTCTTTGAGTTAGGGGAGGGGTTTAGTCCTGGAATGATTGTAAAAGTGAGTCTTTTGTAGTACTTGAGCTTCAGTATTTTTGAATCAGTGGTAATCATGTGGTTATGCACTGAACTTTATCCTGTAAAGAGATGAGATGTTTACTGATGTTTACTGCCCATGATGGCTGTACAGCTGAAAATGATTTTGAATTGAAGTTGGAATGTGTACATAGCTGTAACAAGGATACGTACACTGATGAAGACTTTCTTTGCTTTGTTTTGGAGTTTTGTCACCCGGGGTCTTTTGAGTTTTATTGGTGGGTTAGTCCTGGAATGAGTAAGTACAAATTTATAGTACTTACTCATTCCAGGACTATTTTGAATAAATAGTACCCTGTAGCTTTACTCTGGAATTGATTGATCTTGGACAGACATTGGATGTTACCAGTTCCTCATGATTCATGTGCAGCTAGAAATGGTAATTTGGTCACTACTCATACAAATTTCTACTCATTTATGTTAAGCGCCAGAATCTAGAAACTGTTTCAAATACGATGTCTGATGTCGAGGGAAAATTCATTGGTGATGCTTTGTGTTGCAGACAGTGGAAACATTAAAGCTGAATGTATCATATGAATTTTAAATTGGCTGATTTAGTTTGTCAATTTTTCGCAAACTACAACTGACCTGTGGATCATGTAGTCTTAATCCTCCCCAAAACCCAGAAAAATTCAACCTGGGCAAATAAAAGTCAGTAACATTTCAAGCAAACGGCTTACCAAAGAATTAATTTATTACCTTCCATTATTCACAGGTGTACAGTTTAACATAAATAATATTTGTGGGGAAATACATTTAAAAAAACTTCCTTTCAAAATTTTACACAGTTTGTTCCACCATCACTTGACCTGTTGCTGGTAAATGCCTATGGGTTCAACTCGTAATCTTCAGCTAAAAGTAACACTGACCCCCCAAAAAAATGAACCAAAAAAAAAAGCCAGCTTCAGTGTTCAGTTACAAGCACAGGGAAAGATAAGTGACATTTTGGTCATGAAAAATCTACAGAGTGAACTAAAGAAAGCACATTCCAAAAATGAATGTTCTTTCCACATGAAAGGCTTGGTTACCTCCAGTGGAAACAAAAGCGATTCACATAGCCACAACTATTCAATTTAATGGAGTAGATTGATTTTAATAGATCTCATCTGACTTTGCAATATCCAACAAATTCCTCCCTACCCCCCAAGAATGAGAGTGGAATGATTTCTATCATGTCTATCAAAGTCCCCTCAAGTGTTTCCTGTTTGGTAACAACCATGAGCACAGGCCAAAAGCAGCTTTCAGGCCATTGTCAGCGCAATATATAACTTACAATTGTTTTCAATTTCTTTTCACTATACAAAATTCAATTTTTTTTCCAAGATGGCTGCTGGCATGAAAATTAAATCAACTTGAAACACTGAGTTTCTCAGTTTACCCATGTCTTACAGGTAAAAGAATCGTTGAGTCCCTTTTTAACATTTTGTTCTGGCATTACGTACAAACACCATACAGCTTATTTCCTGCAATAACAAAAGCAGACCTTGTGGTACAAAAAGAGAAGGCCCTAGCCCTGTACAATCTATGCAATCAGTGTAAGGTATGTCTTTCATCCTAAAGTTACTTGTCATGGGACTAAAATATCTGTCACAAATCAAAGTGTATCCTTGAGGTTGCTCATCCCTGGCTCTTTCCCAGATAGCCAAGAGAGATAATCTCAAAGAAAACCCATTATGAAATTCTCCAAGTAACACATATCTCAAACAATGTACAATTTATATTTGTTGGCGTGATTGATTAATCTGCAGGATCATTCGAACTTTGCACAATATGTTGATCTTATTGCACAATTTATTGATAATTCTGCCATCGGCCAATCGCTTTTTCAAATAAGAGACCATGGAAGATAGTTTCAACGGGAGGGAATTTAAGTTGGAGATTTCGTACAAGATGGACTGATAGCAAAACACAGTTATGCTGATTGACTGATCACCCAACATTCTGTTTACTGCCTACAAGGTGATCAAAAATTCCTCATCATTCCTGAATTTCATGAATAGAATGCAATATATGAGAGTTTTTTACAAGGAGCTTTTTGTTCACAGTCACTTTGAAGAAATAGGGAATCAGCCAAATTTAGTTGGAATATTGATACTTCCAGAATTATGCAAATTTTTCCAGGTTTTGCAAGAATAGGTTGTATTTAGCTTTTCCTGTTTTAGGTTCATGGAGCAGAAGTGGGAAACATGTATTACACACATTAACAATAAACTACACAACATGTACAGATGTAGGCTTGATGTGGTTAGCTTTGGTGTGACTGCAAGGACACATCACAGCCTTCTTTACTTCTTTTAAGGTGTATACAAGATTACATACCAGAAATCCTTATAACTACAATTTGGATACTTCAAACAAGTTCAACAAAGTTCCACAGCCAGCAAGTGGAACTTAGTTGACTGACTTGGCTGCTTTGTCAAAAAGGCTTGTGATTACATTAGGTTTCAGATACTGCTGTGACTACTAATCTGATTCTTCAGTTTACCCAGATTTTGAACAAAGCCTTCCCTCCACTATTTTTCAGGCAAACTTAATACTGGTGTCAGTGCTGAGTCAAATCCACCACAAGTCCCATCACATGCCCCTCAAATATAGTCACAAGACCTTTCTCAAAATCAGAAAATAATCAACAGGGTGAGCAGTGATAACTAGTGATGAACCTGCAATGGTTTTGACTACAACGTGGACTGGTGTGACAAACATATTGAGCATTTTTGTAGAAGATGAAACAAATCCTGTACAAAATTTCCTGAAAAAGGAGACGAACCTGTAAGTTTCTAGTTATGAAAAAACAAACCAATATCACCAGAGTTTTTAAAAATAATTATATAAATACAGGGAACATTTGGGTAAAACTTTATATTCTACATATGTCAAACCAAGGACAATTACTTATACCATCACAAAAAATAAATATCTTGCCATGATTGACTTGAAAATTACATTTATGTTCTAAGATGTGAAACGTTATCTCCATGTATCACCTGCTTTTGCCACACCAAGTTTTAAAAAATTGCACTTGCAAAATATTCAGCTAAAAAAAATTTATTAAAACATATTCATGATTAATCTGTATGCATGATTGAACGGGGGAGCAAGTAATGTATGGAAATATTCTCACAAGTCATGTGCCAAGAACTTTGCTGGATATATTTAGCATTTCTATATAAATAACATATTCGAGGGCTGATTAAAAGCATAAGAACTTAAATTTCACGGACAGGAATTTTGCCTTCCAGTGTGTTTTTCCTTGAAATTGTTCAATCAGTATTTAAAATGTTGAATTACAGTTTAAATGCAGGATTTCAAATTTAAAACTGCTGGATTCAATACTTTCAAAGTGTAGTTATTGACTGCGCGCACATGGACCGTAAGTATTGCTAACATTTCTCATCTGAACAGAAAGTGCTCTCATTCTGCATTGGAGACACACCCTTTTGAGTTCCAGTACAAACAGAAAGTGGTGAAAAGGTCTCATGGCAGCAAAATCCCCCATGAAGATCGGTTTAATACTTTGAAAGAAAAGCCTGCCTTGCACTGAAAGGTGTAAATCAGTGTGTTTTCAAAACTTAAACATTTAAAAACAAATATTCAGTTTTTTGTTCACGTCAAGTAGGGATCAATGCTGGAACAACTGTATGGCTTTAAGCATTGTTCTCACGAAGGGACAGGCAAGTTGATTTTAATGCACGACACATTTTCAAAATACAACACAAGAAAAATTTATCTTATTTGCAAAACTGTGAGAAGTAAAGCTTTCCAACAACTTCCTGTGATTAAAAGCTTTGTACAGTTCTTGGAAAGCTTAACACTGATAATATGCTAACAATTAGAATGTATACACGAGTGATTTAGCTCATAGTAATTTTTAAAAATGCCTGTCCCTTTGTGAAAACAAAAATGCTAGCTGATCAGCTCTCAGCACAATAAGTCTTGCCATATTCATGCACACATGGCTAAGAATGTAACAAAAATGCCTGTCCCTTTGTGAAAATGTAAATCTCAGTTACATGTATCTCACTTCGATGCCCTTAAGAGCTCTGGGCATTTGTTCACATTCAAGGGGCACATGACTATGTTTGCATCCCTTCGTGAAAATGTCACCAGCAGCTCCTGAGCATCAGCAATGTCTAGACCCTTTGCATCAGACATATCAGACATCACCTTTTAACTTTTGCTACTGCTCTGTCAGATTTTTAGTTTTGGGTGCTAGAGCCCCCCCCATAGAACCACACCTGACGCCCATCCCTTCATGAAACAGGTGACAATTTGGTCAAATTGTTTTTTCTCGATCAAGGAGGTTTTCCCTGCTGAAGCAAGTAATGGCCCCGAGACAAGCTGCCAGCTTGTATTGAACTTCTCAGATTTCTGAGATAGAAAACAGTACAATGGCACAATAAAATACTATGAAAGCTAAACTCTTTGGGGCTTTGGGGGGCAAGGAAACCTGTTGAACCAATATACGTGTAGCATTGTCCACAACAATATTCAGAGTATTGTGGCTGAGCTGTGGAGTGTTATCTACATCAAAATGCTACAATCCAGATGGGCACAGTTTGAAGATTTGGAATAATGAACACAAAAATAAACAGATTTGCTGTGCTGGTGGTCACTGTACACGGATGAAACTAAAAAAAGAATTATTACAAAATAAAAAAATAACATTTATGTTTTGTAAACAAATGAGAGCACAATTACATACTGGACAGAATGTCCTGTAGATTCAGTCTGATTTGACAACATTGAAATCAAAAAAGTCCTACACTGATACACTAAGCACATAAAATAATTCCCTCACTTTATTTTAACTGATAACACTTCAGATATTTTCTGAGATTTAAAAAAGCTTGAACATTTTCAACCCATTCTGCATTCTTCCTTCCTCCAAAAAAAGGGAAACAGTCACGAGGTTGTTTAATGATCTAATAGGAAATTAAGATTTGATTTGGGGGTTATTTTTCTGTGCATATATGTACTTTACAGTGTGAACTACTGGAATATACAAGGACAACATCATTAAATTGGTCGAAGAATGATCACCTAAAAAGAGAGGTTTTTATGGCCACACGTGAGGCCACACCATACAGGGGACAACACTGGTAAAGCCAGCCACAGCGGTTAAATGGCCATGATGGGCAAGTGGCTGCACTTGACCACTGACTAGCAGTTTAAGTGACAGAAGTTGACCGATGATCTCCCTGGCCACATGGCTCCACAGTGATCAGTGGCCAAAATGACCAGATGGCTGGAAAAAAAAGGCAGAGCGTGTGGACAGATAGCCGTATCTGACAGCCACATTGTACCTGTGACTGCAAAGAACACAACCAAACCTGAAATACATGTAGTGACAATGTCAAGATGGTGCCAGCCGGACAGTCAAACACAAGAACAGGTGGACTAAGGTACACAGGTGGTTAGACTGCATGGCCTGTGGCCCTAGGGAGGGCAGGTAACCACAGCAGTAAAATGGAAAGGCCACACACTGATAACACCAGACATGAGGTCACAATATAGATTGAAATGGATTGGATCTAAAGGCCAGTTGGACACCATACAAGCCATTTCTTTCAATCTACTACTCAACGAAGTACCCGTCAATTCCTAGTAAACTGACTCAAACAATATCAAAAACAAGACTATGGATGTAAACACTTTCAATATTACCAACCTACTGGCATAATTCATCATACCAGAAGTGCATTTGTGTAATAGTAATTGTTTTATGGAGGGTGTTTACTAATACTCTTGTTAGGTTTAAAGCTAAATCATTTCTTTAAACTTTGATCTTTTTGAATAAAGCTCTATATGAATCAAAAACAGAAGTGACTGGAATTATGGCAGGAATGCCATTAGCCTGTGTCACTGTACAAGAAACCTTACGGCAGAATTCAGGGGAAAAAAGAAAATGCAAATGTGAACCTATATCCAAACTGCCAATTTGGTTTTCACCCAAATGATCATTAACAACCTTTCAGGTATAAAATGTGAAATCTCTTTTGATATTTCATGAGCCCGGTTTGTGTCTTCAAAATTTCCTTCCTTTCTTTGAAAAATTACTACATTTTTATGGGTGGTTAAGGCATAGATTCGGGTACAAGGTTGTATAATTTGGAGCCAGTTCCTCACATCAGTTCCTGGGTTACCTGGTTCTGATGCATGGCCCCATGAGCCTCGAGCTGGACCAAAAGAGGGAGCAATTTTCTTAGCAACGGAGGTTCCCTTGGTCGGAACTGAACTTCACTGGTTCACGAACGACTATAAATGCATGCATTACTGTCTCATCACTACCAACAAAATGAACACTCCTGACCAATATGGGTCTTTTCAGCCAATGAGGGGGTGCTTCTGCTTGAGGTGGCATTAACTGGCGTTAATTTGAATACTTCATTATAATGGGTCTTCTTCAACTTCCCACTAACAAGAGTACTTTCAACACCCTCTGCAATGTTCAAGTGTGAAAACAATTTTTTTATGCCAAACATTACAATGGCACCAACATACTCCGTAGTAAGCCTAGTCACAGCCACTTATGCAATAAAGCAATCTGTGAGTAACACATGGAAGAATACACCACTTTCTCATATTAAAACAACATTTACGTACTAGCTGGATAATCCAGAATTAGTTATTTTATTCAATTGTGATTTTTGTACATGAAGGGTAAGAGATGCATGTTGGAAGGTGAGATAAATGAATATTACCCTAGGACGTAAATATTTGTAGACAAGGAGATGATTTTACACGAGTCATGGGAACCAGCTAACAGACATGCACAAATCGCATAACACTTTAGCTGGTACTTTGGTGTCAATGCCAAATGTTAATCTGCTTAGCTAATATGTGTCCTGATAGCTTGACAACATTGGCATCACACTCAGTGACATCCATCCGTAGCTGTCATCTGTAGCATACCAATGACAGCATTGTGATGTCCTTGGGCAGGAGGGGGAAGGGACAATGGGTCAACATGTTCACAATCTACAAGCTGGCAAGAAAATGTTCAGTTCAAATGTCAAGACACTCTGTCACTTGTTCTATGACCACCATGAGCATCTCAACTTTCATCCTTTGTCCCTGGTTCGATTCCACGTCGACCTGGCAAGATAAGTATTACACTGATATGTCTGCCCCACCTGCTTCATCTTCAACATCAAAGGGGAGCTGCCTTGCCACAAAGATAAAAACTGGTTCACCAAAACCAAAATGCCAGTTTTTTGTTTAGGTACTTGCACTTTTATATGTCCCTGGTTCGAATCCAGACGGATGTGTGACTCTGCAAGGCAGGTGTCATGAGATGATGGCAGCAGTGAACTTGGGGCCTAAGTGAATGCCGTCCATGCTGGAAGAACGCTTCAGGTCCTGGTACATTTGGTCTCGCGTCTTCTCTTCACAAAGCCTTGAAATAGCCTAGGATGATGGACATAAAAATGATACTAGATGAAAAAACAATCATAATGATAATAAACAACAGAAAACTTAAACAGGGGTCGAAGTGAACTTC